ATCATCAGGGCTTGGCGTTTTCTCTTTCTCAAGTTTGTCAACACTCGGTTTTTCGTCGACTACAGTCGGAACTGGTATTTCAGGCTTGTCCGTCTTATCATCGGGGCTTGGCGTTTGCTCTTTCTTAAGTTTGTCAACAATCGGTTTTTCAGCCTTGTCCATCTTATCATCAGGGATTGGCGTTTTCTCTTTCTCAAGTTTATCAACAGTTGGTTTTTCATCGATTGCAGTAAGAACTGGTTTTTCATCCTTGTCCATCTTTTCAACAGGGCTTGGCGTTTTCTCTTTCTCAAGTTTGTCAACAGCCGGTTTTTCGTCGACTGCAGTCAGGATTGGTATTTCAGCCTTGTCCATCTTATCATCAGGGCTAGGCGTTTTCTCTTTCTCAAGTTTGCCAACAGGTGGTTTTTCATCAACTGCAATTTGAACTGGTTTTTCAGCCTTGTCCGTCTTATCAACAGGGCTAGGCGTTTTCTCTTTCTCAAGTTTTTCAACAGTTGGTTTTTCATCGACTGCAGTTTGAACTGGCTTTTCATCCTTGTCCATCTTATCATCAGGTCTTGGCGTTTTCTCTTTCTCAAGTTTGTCAACAGGTGGTTTTTCATCGACTGCAGTCAGAATTGGTATTTCAGCCTTGTCCATCTTATCAACAGGGCTAGGCGTTTTCTCTTTCTCAAGTTTGTCAACAGTTGGTTTTTCATCGCCTGCAGTTTGAACTGGTTTTTCATCCTTGTCCATCTTATCATCAGGGCTTGGCGTTTTCTCTTTCTCAAGTTTGTCAACAGGTGGTTTTTCATCGACTGCAGTCAGAATTGTTATTTCAGGCTTGTCCATCTTATCATCAGGGCTAGGCGTTTTCTCTTTGTCAAGTTTGTAAACAGTTGGTTTTTCATCAACTGCAGTAAAAACTTGTTTTTCAACCTTGTCCATCGTATCAACAGGGCGTGGCGTTTTGTCTTTCTCAAGTATGTCAACAGTTGGTTTTTCATCGACTGCAGTCAGAACTGGTTTTTCCACCTTGACCATCTTATCAACAGGGCTAGGCGTTTTCTCTATCTCAAGTTTGTCAACAATCGATATTTCAACCTTGTCCATCTTATCAACAGGGCTAGGCGTTTTCTCTTTCTCAAGTTTGTCAACAGTTGGTTTTTCATCGACTGCAGTCACAATTAGTTTTTCCACCTTGTCCATCTTACCATCAGGGCTTGGCGTTTTCTCTTTCTCAAGTTTGTCAACAGGTGGTTTTTCATCGACTGCAGTCAGAATTGGTATTTCAGCTTTATCCATCTTTTCAACAGGGCTAGGCGTTTTCTCTTTCTCAAGTTTGTCAACAGTTGGTTTTTCATCGAATTTAGTCAGAACTGGTTTTTCCACCTTGTCCATCTTATCAACAGGGCGTAGCGTTTTGTCTTTCTCAAGTTTGTCGTCAGTTGGTTTTTCATCAACTGCAGTAAGAACTGGTTTTTCATCCTTGTCCATCTTATCATCAGGGCTTGGCGTTTTCTCTTTCTCAAGTTTGTCAACATCCGGTTTTTCGTCGACTACAGTTGCAACTGGTATTTCAGCCTTGTCCATCTTATCAACAGGGCTTGGTGCTTTCTCTTTCTCAAGTTTGTCAACAGTTGGTTTTTCATCCACTGAAGTTAGAATTGGTATGTCAGCCTTATCCATCTTATCATCAGGGCTAGGCGTTTTCTCTTTCTCAAGTTTGTCAACAGGTGGTTTTTCATCGACTGCAGTCAGAATTGGTATTTCAGCCTTGTCCATCTTATCATCAGGGCTTGGCGTTTTCTCTTTCTCAAGTTTGTCAACAGTTGGTTTTTCATCGACTGCAGTTTGAACTGGTTTTTCATCCTTGTCCATCTTATCATCAGAGCTAGGCGTTTTCTCTTTCTCTAGTTTGTCAACAGGTGGTTTTTCAACGAATGCAGTCACAACTTGTTTTTCCACCTTGTCCATCTTATCATCAGGGCTTGGCGTTTTCTCTTTCTCAAGTTTGTCAACCGCCGGTTTTTCGTCGACTACAGTTGCAACTGGTATTTCAGCCTTGTCCATCTTATCAACAGGGCTTGGTGCTTTCTCTTTCTCAAGTTTGTCAACAGTTGGTTTTTCATCGACTGCAGTTAGAATTGGTATTTCAGCCTTATCCATCTTATCATCAGGGCTAGGCGTTTTCTCTTTCTCAAGTTTGTCAACAGTTGGTTTTTCATCGACTGCAGTCAGAACTGGTTTTTCCACCTTGACCATCTTATCAACAGGGCTAGGCGTTTTCTCTATCTCAAGTTTGTCAACAATCGGTATTTCAACCTTGTCCATCTTATCACCAGGGCTAGGCGTTTTCTCTTTCTCTAGTTTGTCTACAGTCGGTATTTCAACCTTGTCCAGCTTATCAACAGGGCTAGGCGTTTTCTCTTTCTCAAGTTTGTCTACAGCCGTAATTTCAGCTTTGTCCATCTTATCACCAGGGCTAGGCGTTTTCGCTTTCTCTAGTTTGTCTACTGTCGGTGTTTCAGCTTTGTCCATCTTATCAACAGGGCTTGGAGTTTTATCTTTCTCAAGTTTGTCTACAGTCGGTATTTCAGCCTTGTCCATCTTATCATCAGGGCTTGGCGTTTTCTCTTTCTCAAGTTTGTCAACACTTGGTTTTTCGTCGACTACAGTCGGAACTGGTATTTCAGGCTTGTCCGTCTTATCATCAGGGCTTGGCGTTTGCTCTTTCTCAAGTTTCTCAATACTCGGTTTCTCGTCGACTACAGTTGGAACTGGTATTTCAGCCTTGTCCATCTTATCAGAAGGGCTAGGTGTTTTCTCTTTCTCAAGTTTGTCAACAGGTGGTTTTTCATCGACTGCAGTCAGAACTGGTTTTTCATCCTTGTCCATCTTACCAATAGGGCTAGGCGTTTTGTCTTTCTCAAGTTTGTCAACAGTCGGTTGTTCGTCGACTGCAGTAAGAACTGGTTTTTCATCCTTGTCCATCTTATCATCAGGGCTTGGCGTTTTCTCTTTCTCAAGTTTGTCAACAGCCGGTTTTTCGTCGACTACAGTTGCAACTGGTATTTCAGCCTT